CATGGAGTGATGGTATCCTGTCTGCGTCCTGCAAGGATGACTTTGAAAGTCAGATGTTTCATCTTGACAGTCACATCCTGATCAACAAACTCAAAGAGTCAATAAATAAATACATGCAGTGAAAAAACCTGGTCTCTCTGTAAGCTGTAATTAAACAGGAACTTGACTTGTTTTTGTATTCACATCTAGTCTACAATAATGCCCCGATACCAACGTATTTGAGCACTACTTAAACTTACCAGGTAGCGCTTGCTTTCCATAAGAAAAAAAAGATATTCTTCTACTCTCACCCTTTTATTTTGTATACAAAAAAAAATATTCTCAATGTAAAATTGATTTTGCACATACAGCTGACCTCCTCCAAGGTACACTCTGTGCACATCAAATTTTACAAGTTTGTGGGGAAAAGAGCCATTTTTTGCAAAACATGAGGTGAAATGGACACATTTCTGAACTTCAGTGCTTAGGAGAAAAATCAATAACATAGGTATTGGATATTTATGTCTGGAGTTGTGGAGGAAGAAATGAATACACACTTCATTAACTTTCCATAGAACTAATGGATTTCAGGAAGTTTTCATAAGTTATTTATGTCTTCTACAGCAGGTAAAAATCATATTTGACACAGGTGTCCATAGATCATTTTAAAGAAGATTGCTGCTGAGATTATAAATCTTTGGTTGAACTAAGAAGCACCCTAAGGCCTCTTGTGTGGTTTGCATTTCTCAACAATTCCCTAATAGAAATAGGGACCTACAATGGACTTTTAGTCATCAAATCCAGACCCATACACTAAATTGAGACCATTTAAACACCTCACTGGGATAGTCTAGGTTTCTCCAACCTATTCTCAAAAAACCTCTAATGGCAGGGATTTTGCTACCCCCCTTGAAAGCCTATTCTAGAGTTTAACTACCTTATAGTCAGAAACTTTTACTAATACAGGCAGTCCCCGGGTTACATGGATCCGACTTACATCGGATCCCTACTTACAAACGTGGTGAGGTAACCCCGCACTAGCTGCTTCCCCCCAGCAGACCAGGGAGACGCGGAGCGGCTTTTCTCAGCAGACACCTCAGCTTGAGAATAAAGGACTGAGGGAAGTCAGGTGTGGGAGAATAAAACTGAGCTCTGGAGAAATGTTTGGCTAGAGTTTCCCCTACAATATGTACCAGTTCCGACTTACATACAAATTCAATTTAAGAACAAACCTACAGTCCCTATCTTGTACGTAACCCGGTGACTGCCTGTATGTAACATAAACTTTCTTTGCTGCAGATTGCTCCCATTACTTCTTGTCCAACTTTCAGTGGCCGTGGACAACAACTGATATCCAACCACTTTATAATAGCCCTTCAGATATTCAAAGACTGTTATCAGATTCCTCCACCCCAGTCTTCTGGTCTCAGGACTAAATATGCCCAGTTTTCCTTAAACATTTTCTCATAGGTCAGGTTTTCTAAATCTTTTATCATTTTTGTTACTCTCCTCTGGAGAAGATCAGTAAAATCTTTTATAGGAGAGAGAGAGTGAGCGTGTGTCTGGAAGGTCCACCAGTGTCCAAACCATGGCCCTGCTACCCCCTTCCTCTTGTCCCCAATACCACATTACCACTTGTTCCCCAAGCCCTTCCCCTCTATATGCTCCTTCACTTGGCCTTACAGACAGTAAAAAGTGGGAGGGTCACAGCCCCTGCTTCCTGCTACTGGCCAGACTTGGACCCCTGCTCCTGCTGAGTCTCACCATTAGGTGAAGCAAGCCTGTTACCTCCCATGTCCTGCTGCTAACATGCCCAGAACGGGATGAGCCCTGTGAGCAACACTGAGGCCTGGTCTATATTGAGTTTAGATCATATTTAGCTGCATACGGCCGATTGTCTAAATGATGCGCAGACCTTAAGGGCTGCTGAGGTCAATGTCAGTACTCCTGCTTTTCACATTTGACCTTGCATGGTCAAATTTACATAGTGTAGACCAGTGCTAGAGAGGGTCAAGGTTATTGACCTTTAGGAGGCATCCCACAGGGCCTCACTCTGACGGCTCCGGTCATAACTTGCATCTCTACTGGTCTCAAGTTGAAGAGGGAAAGCCCCAGGAACATTTGAATTTCATTTCCCGTGTTGCTGTAAAGTGTCCACTTAACAGCAAAAATTGGCCTTGCACAGAATACATCTCTGGTGTAGGCTAACAGATTAGGGTTAAGCTTTACACAATGTATCTCCAGTAATGTGTACCCTTGTAACTTTTAATTGGTGCTGGAACTGCTGCCAGCTCGCAGCATACCTCCTCTCTTCCAGCATCTGTTCACCTGATTCAGATCCGCAGGTGAAAACGCACAAGGGAGCACATGTTCAGGGAAAGGTGGAATGCATGAACTCCCTCCTGGAGAAGATGGAGGCAGAGTGGCAGAACCAGCTCACTGAACACCAGGAGAGGAGAGCCAGCAGGGAGCAGAAGAACATCTTTGCCTCCCTGTTAGCTCTGATGGAGTATCTGGCTGCTTGTCTGGAGAGGGCCTCCTCACAGAACTCTGTCCACCCCAATGACAACACCAGTCCCGACTCCCCCACCCCCAAGCCTCCTCAGGACCCACCTGCTGTTTTCCCCAAATAAAAACTTATGTTCTTTGAACAATGGTCTCTTTATTCTTTATACTGCAGGGGCGGAATAGGGAATTAAAGACAAACTCAGGGAATACAGAGGCAACTTGTTAACAGCAACATGCAAGAGTCTCAAAACTGGCCATTCATAAAACCGTCCTTCAAGGTGTCTCTGATTTGTGCTACCTCATACTGTGCTCTTTTTATAGCCCTGGTGTCCGGCTGCTCAAACTCTCTGGCTAGGAGCTCTCCCTCAGTTTTCTTCCTTGCTCTCATAAAGATTATGAAGCACACAACAAGATGACACAAAAAAGGGAATGTTATGTTCATTGAGGTCCAACTGAGTTGGGAGACTCCTAAATCTATCCTTTAAAAGTCCAAAAGTACATTCAACCATCAAGTAAGAGTTCAACAACAGGCTGAGCAAGTATATGGCTTCATGAGCCATGGGAGCAAGGGGTAGGCTGGGTCAACATGAACCACAATAGGCATTTCCACCTCTCTGATTCTGACTTTCCTGTCTGAGAAAAAAGTTCCAGCATGCATCTTTCTGAAGAGACAGGAGTTCCTAAAGATGTGTACATCTTAGTTGGAACTGGTCCTGCCTAGAGCAGGGGGCTGGACTTGATGACCTTCTGAGGTCTCTTCCAGTTCTATGAACCTTTCCTGACCATCCCACATTGATATCGGTAAAATGGCCCTTGTAATCCACCAGTGCCTGTAGCACCATCGAGAAGTACCCCATGCAGTTGAAGTACTGCCTGGCAAGATGGTCGGGGACCAAGGTAGGGATGTGTGTTCCATCTAGCGCTCCACCAGTTAGGGAACCCCATAGTGGCAAAGCCCTCCACCATGGTATCCACGGTTTCCCAGTGTCACAACTCTCTGTAGCAGAGTAGTATTGATCACCTTGGCTACTTGTATGTCTGCCTGTACTATAGATTTCTCCACTCTGAATTAATTCCCTACTGAATGGTAGCTGTCCAGCACTGTAAACTTTGAGAGCTATTGCCACACACTTCCCCTGGGTCAGTGGGGGGCCTCATTCACACATTCTGGCGCCTCAGGGCAGGGGCAAGCCATTTCCAAAGTTCAAGGAATGACCCGTATTCAGAAGTTCTGCAGCCACTACTGATCATCCCATCTCTGCATCACAGTGCAGTCCCACCAGTCTATGCTTGTCCCACAGTGCCAGAACCGGCCTTCCACTATGCCCATAAGATTGACTGGCAGCTGAGCTTCTGAGTGCTACGGCTTGCATGAGCAGCAACGCCAAGCTGAGCCGAGATTCATACTTCTCCTCCTGGAGGAGCAACATGTGCATGCTCTCAGAGTACTGTGCATGAGGCTCACTATGGCACACATCAGCATCACCCTGGCTTGCTGCAAACCAAGATCCATGCTTGCACTGCTCTGGCATCTCATGGCACACATCAGCATCACCATGGGTTGCTGCAAACCAGGATCCATGCTTGCACTGCTCTGGCATCTTCACGGGCAATGAGGGCACAAAAAAGGCACAAACACACCGCTTCCCCTCGAGCTCATCCAAGGGGGGAGGGACTGGATGACTGCATTATCGGACACCGACCGCATGAGTCCATAACCGTCTGCTGCACAGTCCCGGTCCCAGCGCGCACTGGGAGCAAAGCTACCTGCGGGGCCTGGCTCTGGGCGAGGGGGCCACGCGCTACTGCGCCCTGTATTCCAAGCTTCCCCGCAATGAGGCCACGGACCTTTGCAAAATCGGGTGCCTAGAAATCGACCCTATTAGATTTCACCTGCTCTCCTAGCGTAGGCAGGGCCTCTGGCCCCGGCACCCACAGGGCGGCGCCAACAGCTCCCAGCATAGAGCTTAGGCGGCTGCGTGGCTCTCCCCGCCCCGGGGCCGGCCACCGGCGCTCTGCCGGCTCCCCCCGCCACCGCTCGCCGCCACGGCCGTTAGCGCGCGCGACGCTCCCAGCAGGCGCAGAGCGTCTAGGGCACAGCCGCGCGCACCCAACACCACCGTCCTGGCCCCGCCCTGCCCTGCCCTCCCGCGGATTCTTGGGAGCGGAAGTGAGGTCATAGCGCAGGCGGAAGTAGTGGTGGCTCGTGGGTGAGGGGGTCGAGATGGTAAGTTGAGGGCCGGAGGACGTTGGGGGCTGCGTCCGGGACCCGGGGGGGAATGTGGGGGCCCGCGCTGAGTTACGGGGGCGTCCGGGCCTCGTTTTCGCGGCGGGGGCTGGGGGAGAGGCGGCTTGTGCCCGGCGGTTCTGTGCCGCGGGGGGAGGGGGAATGAATCAGCAGCACGAAGCGACCCCGCTTGCCTCGCCGCCCCCGTAGTGCCACGGCCCCCGTGGCTCCTGAACGCCCCTCCCCCCCCGGTGGGGTGAGTGTCCTAGGCGCGGAGTGTGTCATTCTGGCTCCCCTCCCCCGCTGCCTGTGGATCGTTTCCTGCTCAGCATCGCTAAGCACCGGCTGGGACACGAGTGCGGCTTCACGTCGTTAGTGCTTCCTTGCCGGGGGGAGGGATTTTTCTCAGCTTGTAGGGTACATTTGAGGGCATTTTAAAGCTTGGCTCTGCTGTCGTGGGGACTGGGTAATTACTTCCAGAAACCCGAAACCTGAGGTTAAGTTGGGGCTTGAAGGAGGACGCCTAATACTGCAAGGCTTGAGGCAGAAGTTGATAATGCTGCTGCTCTCCCTTTTCCTGGACTTTACAAAGATTCACATTAGGTATTTGGGCTTGCCATTTGTTCAAGGTCATGTGGCTTGGGGACTAACAACAGGAATTTGGGTTGAAAATTGGAGATGACAGAAAAAGATGATTATGTTGATCTATCACAGGATGACTATGAGCTGCATGCAGGATATGGGTCTGAAAAAGGGCTCCTGCAATCGTAGGATGTATCAGGCAAGTTATTTCTAGAAGAAGTAGGAAAGTGTTATTACCTTTGTAGGAGGGCTCTCGTGAGATCTGGAATACTGTGTTAGTTCTGCCATCCCTCCCATCTTCAAGTTTGAATTTATTTTCCTTAAACAAGTGCAGAGAATGGTCTTAGAGAGGCAGTAAAGTAGAGCACAGGGTGAAGCAAGTTGTCAATATTCCAGTCGACTACCCAATAAGCAAAGGACTGGTTGACTACTTGCTTACATCCTTAATCTGTTAACTATTCCTCCTGTATTTTCATATTCCACATATGTGTGATAGTAGTGCACGGATATTCCATTGTGCTAAACACTGTGGCTGCGTCTAGACTGGCAAGTTTATCCGCAAAAGCAACTGCTTTTGTGGGAAAACTTGCCAGCTGTCTACACAAAAACACTGACATTCTACTGTCCGAAATCAGTGCTTCTTGCGCATATGCTTTGACGTTCCCGTTCGGGCAAAAGCCCTTTTCCGGAAATGTTTTTGTGCAAGAGGGCCAGTGTAGACCGCTAAAAACTGTTTTGCGCAAAAAAGCCCCAATGGCAAAAATGGTGATCAGGGCTTTCTTGCACAAAACCGCGTCTAGATTGGCACAGATGCTTTTCTGCAAAAAGTGCTTTTGTGGAAAAGCGTCCGTGCCAATCTAGACGCTCTTTTCCACAAATGCTTTTAACGGAAAAACTTTTCTGTTAAAAGCATTTGCGGAAAATCATGCCAGTCTAGACGTAGCCTGTATGTTCTCATAGTAGGAAATAGTCTCTGTCCAAACCACTGACTGTTTAAATAGACAAGAAAGGAAGCATGAGAGAGAGAGGGGGGAAACTGAGGCAGAGAGAGATGAAGTGGCTTATCCAAGGTCTCTGTAGCTGAATGGCACAGCTGGAAATAGAGCCCAGATCTCCTGAGTGCTGTCCAGTTCTCTCCAAACATTCATTTGACTGTTTTATGTTTCCTGAAAAATCAGTGCCTTTAATCCCATTCCAGTAAATAAATAAAAATGTACATACATTTTGTCGATCTTCCCAGAGCTCTCTGTAATTTGTCATTCTGTTTCTGAGGTATGAAAATGTTCAAAACTGAATTAAATACAAAAATCTGCAGACAGCTGTCCTAGTCAAGCCCTATGAAGTGAAAATATCTTCTTTATTACTCTGGCTTTGCATATAGAAAAAATCGCAATTGCCATGTCAGATCAATAGTCCAGTTTCCTCCGTCTGATTGGCTAGTACCAGATGCTTCAGAGAAGCGTGTGAGGAACTTTGTAGAGGACAATTGTGGAATAATCTACTCGAAGTTTCTTGCTAAACCCTAGTTCAGTGTTTCTCAAACTGCGCTCCGTAAGGTTGACAAAGTGGAAACATCGATAGGTACAACACATACAATCAGTGGACCGCTGGGGCTCCACATACATTTTTATGCATGTAAAGGGCTCCAGAGTCCAGAAAGTTTGAGAACTGCTGCCCTAGTTGATTGTATGTGTTATAATAATGCCCAGAAACCCCAGTCAGGATTGGGACCCAGTTTTTGTAAGTACTACCATACACATAGTAAAAGACAATTAAGTTCTTTTTGTTCTGCCGTAGCAAGTTTTAGAGGAGAAGACAGCAGACTGCACTTTTCCAAGCGGTCTAAGCACTGCTAAATCATCTCAAGCTAAGTTTTCTGTAGTCTGTGAGGCCACACAGCTGCCTAGTTAGTGTCATGCAGTCTGTCCTGGCTGGGGAAGAGTTGACCTGAACCTTGTGCCCCCCCACCCCCCATGCAAATGTGGCTGAAGCAGCTCAGCCGCAGAGCTGCCCCCTCTCCCACCTTTACTGCAGCTGGAACGACCTGGCTCTGGAACTGCCACCACCCCCACCATGTCTGGAGTGGCTCAGCCCCTGAGGCCTCCCCGATTTGCTGTAGTTGCCCTCCTCGAGTTCCAGCTGGCCACACCCTAGAGCTTGGAACCTGCCGGCACCAGGGGAGGACCACCTGTTATACAACCCCAGTCGTGGAGCTGCCTTAGAGAGGAGAGGTGATTTTCCCTCCTAGCCCAAGTGTTGCTGTGAGGGGAGAAAGATGGGACGAGTTCTCTCCTTGCTGCAGTAGCTCTGGAGCACCCTCCTTCGTGCCAAATCTTTCAGCCTGGCTTCACCCCAGAGTCTGCACTTCTACCCAGAGCCTTCACACTCCTACATCCCAACCCTTTACCCTAGACCCGAGCCCCCTCCTTTACTCTGTAGCCCTTGGTGCCACCCCCACCACATGAATTTTGTAATATACCCCAATATGAAGTAGGGATGTGAAAGTGTAACTGTATACCTGGGCTCATCGGTTAATGTGAATGGTTACACACAGCCTCCCTGTATGTGCTGATGCAGCAGCACTCAGAGGAGGAAGGAGCCAGTGTGTGCAGAGAGCATGGAGCAGCCTGAATTCCTCCCTCCATGCTCCTGTAGCCAGCTTAAAAACTGGCTTTCCACATAAGTCTCTGGGGAGCTGCCTGCCCCTGCATGTAATTTTCACTGGTTACACAATTACTTAATTATTAAATGCATTTTAGCATCCCTAATATAAAGGTAATGTATCAAACATCACCCCCATCTTGGTGCACATAACAAAATTCATTTCACTGAGGGGTGGGAAAAATTAGAGGGAATGCTGGTCTCAAGGTGTCCTAATTAAATGGCATTTATAGTCTCAGTTAAAAAGCCTTCATTCTGAAGATTAAGGTTTGTGCATATGTAATTTTAAAGAGACATGAAACAACTCATTGGTTAACTGTTTTTTGGTATAAAGGGCCAAGAGATTAATCTAAATTTCCATTTATCATTTAACAGAAGCATTGAGTGGGACCTAATTCTGTAAAAGTAATCCTTACTTTTTGTTTCAGAATTCCAGAGGAGTTGGCTCTCAGCTGAAGGATAGTATCTCAATTGCTGAATTTTCAGCTAGTGGAGCATTTGGAGGTCATGATATTCTACGCAAAGGGTATGTATGCCTTGTCTGCTTGCTAATATACTAACAGCCACATTGAAATTCTAAAGGACGTAGGAAGAAAGTTTATATTTATTATGAACCTATTGTAGAATATATACTTCTTGGGTAATTTACTTTATACCAAAATATATGCCTAGTCCAATGATTCTCAGCCTATTTACCAGTGAGGGCTACATAAGCAGCTTTCTGAGTGGTAAGTGGGTCACATCCAAACAATATATATATAACCAGTAAATCTACATCGGACACAGCTATGTGCTTATTGGGCTGTGGGTTGAGAAGCACAAAGTGACTAGGCCAGTGAATAGTTATAGTAGGAGCATTATGTGTCAAGAGCTTATTTCCTATGAAACTTACTCTTAGAAGAAAATAATAAATACAGCCATGTAATTAGTGGTCTGTAAAGAATGCACCTTAATTTACATCCCATGAACTTTGTCTTTAAAAAATGTAGTTGCTTGTGCTATTTTAACATTGGCCAAAATGATAGACTTCACCTGTGAATGGCACATTTAATAGTATTAATAATGTGGAAAATGGTTTAATATACATCTAGAATCTAAGTGTGAATACTTTGGTTGAAATTTAAAATGTTTATCAAATACTGGCCACGACAAACAGACTCTGCTCTGGCACCAGCCCCTGTTCGTGGCAGCCAGGGCTGGCCATGGCCAGGGGCCACTGCAAACAGGGGCTGCTTGGTGGCAACAGCCTCTCATAGAGGCAGCAGGGGGGCGGCACCAAAGAGAGCACAGGGTGAGTAGGGACTGAAGCGGTCCCCATTTGTGCCGTTTGTTTGCTATGCCTCTGTCCCCCATGGAGATAGTGCTGGGAGGAACCAGCTCCTGCTCCCCCTCTTGCTTAGTTGAGTTTCTATTCGACTGTCCGATAAGCATTTGTTATCAGTCAACTAGTCGCTAACGTCCCAAAGTCTGACCCCAATACTTTCCCAGTCCTGAATTTCCAGAGAACCACCTACTATTAAGACAATCTGCTGAGGTCCAGAATTGTAAGTTACTATGTTACTCCTTTCAGCCTCAGCAAATTGTTTTGCTACTCCTAAGATGTACCACAACTCCCTGTACACCTGCTTGTCTGCCTTGCCAGCTAACTCTTCAGGCCTCTGTTTCCAAACCTTGCTTTGCCGGGGAAAAAAAAAGCAGTGAATTTCCAAGTTCCCCAGAAACATCACTCTGCTGTGTCCAGCCCTCTGAAACATTTGCAGAAGTAGTTCTTAGTTACTTCTTTAAAGAGACAATACACTACAATTCATTAATACAGGGGACATGGGGTTTGATAAAAGTTCTTATTTCAATCACAGCACTGAATTGATTTACTGTAAAATTAAAACAAGGTGATTTAAGCAAAACACCATGGCTGCGTCTAGACTGGCAAGTTTTTCCTCAAAAGCAGCTGCTTTTGCAGAAAAACTTGCCAACTGTCTACACTGGCCGCTTGAATTTCCGCAAGAACACTGACGATTTCATGTAAGATTGTCAGTGTTCTTGCGGAAATGCTATGCTGCTCCCGTTCGGGCAAAAGCCCTCTTGCGCAAAAGCTTTTGCACAACATGGCCAGTGTAGACAACGTGGTATTGTTTTGCGCAAAAAAAACCCAATCGTGAAAATGGCGATCGGGGCTTTCTTGCGCAAAACCACGTCTAGATTGGCACGGATGCTTTTCCGCAAAAAGTGCTTTTGCAGAAAAGCGTCCGTGCCAATCTAGACGCTGTTTTCCGCAAATGCTTTTAACGGAAAAACTTTTCTGTTAAAAGCATTTGCGGAAAATCATTCCAGTCTAGACGTAGCCCATAGGTTTAAGTGATTTCAAGAATAAGGAATAAAGATAGAAAGGATTACAAGGAAATAAAAGTGAAAACCCTTCTAAGAATAAAATTTTATTTAAGTGTCTTGTTCAAAGAAGTGTTTTTCACCAAAGATATGTTTACACTTCAGTGTGTATTCAGTGTTTGCACTAACACACAAATTACAGTACTAGTTCTGGGGGAGTTCAAATGCAACAATTGCAGGAGTCATAGTAAAAATTGTAGCACTCCCCCAGAACTAACTAACTAAGGGCTCAGGCCCAGGGTCCCAAAACCAGACTAGGGTGCAAAGTCTGAGTCTGAGTCAAGTTGTGACCCAGAGTTCAAGTTCTATTGCTTTGCAGCATAGCTGTAGGCCAAGTGGACTTGTGCTCTGGGAGTCTTCCAGAAGTATCCCACAGACAGACTTTTTTATCCTTCAAACAGTCAAGTTGAGTGATCAGTCAAATTTTCCCATGCTGCACCATAAACAAAGGGCTATAGTGGCCACATTTTGGGAAGGTGCTAAGGATATAGGTGGTTGGACTTGGACCTGTATAATGCAGTGTAAACACAGGAACCCCAGGTTAAGGCCCAGGGTTCAACAATTTCTAACCTGGGATTATAAATGTGCATAGGTGCTCAAGTTAAGGTTAACAAATTCTTGTAATTCTGGGTTTACATTGTAGTGTGGACGTACTCAATATGGACAAGCAGACTTTAAATTGCATGAAGAGTCCTCACCAAAAAATGCTTGGTTCCTTTGCTTCCTCAACTGAAAGTTAATTTAGGGGTTTGCACGCACCTGTCCATAGTCTGGTAAAATTTTGAAATGTATTCTTCTCAAGTGTATCCCGAGATAAATTTCCTTTTTCCCTGCTGAGTGTGGATGCCATGCTGTAGTCTCTGTGCTGTGTTCTCCTCCACTGGTGACTTTTACAGTGTAAATGATCTCTTCCTGCTGTTTCTCATACAAATGAATATCCCATTGAATTTGTCCACACCTGGTCTTTTTCTGTTGTTTGGGGAAAGCTGTTTTCTTCTCAAGTGTATCCCGAGATAAATTTCCTTTTTCCCTGCTGAGTGTGGATGCCATGCTGTAGTCTCTGTGCTGTGTTCTCCTCCACTGGTGACTTTTACAGTGTAAATGATCTCTTCCTGCTGTTTCTCATACAAATGAATATCCCATTGAATTTGTCCACACCTGGTCTTTTTCTGTTGTTTGGGGAAAGCTGTTTACAGCCAGGCTAGAAAAACATGACTAAAAGGTGCTTATCAAACCCTCTTACATGACTGGTTTAAAGTTCTTCATGTACACATATAACACACAAATATTAATGATAAGTGAAAGATTGATTAGTTTTTCAATGACATACCACATTAGATCCTTTAGATACTGACTGTAATTTAGTGAGTGGGGGTACACGGAGTTGGTCAGGGCAGGTGAAACTCATTGTTTCCTGTCCTTTGGAACAAGGATCATACTTGTTGGGAACCACTGATCTACCTTTTCCAGCATATGGACCCCTATTCAATCTGTTAACATTGTGCAGACCCCTCCTCCCAAACAGTATAGCTGTGCCTGCAGCCTGCACTGCTTCCCAAGCAGTGTCCCTCAGCCCGCTTAGGAAGCAGTGCGGGCTGAGGGACTTGCTGGCTGCTGGCACGGAGCCTCTCAGTTCCCAACTTTCTGCAGACCCCCTACAGTACCGTCTCGGACCACCAGGGGTCTGCAGACCACAGGTTGGGAACCACTAGTGTAATTATCCATAAGTGAACCAATAATAGCAAGAAATAGTCAAGTATTCAAGCTTAAGGTGTCTTGTCATTGGGAGCTAGAACTAGGGGAAGAGAAACTATGACTGTTTTTATGTGAAGCTTGAAACTGAAGCAGAAAAAAGCTGAAGTCCTTTACAGGTTTTTCCTTGTTCTAAATGAGAAATAATTATAGTGGCTTGATGTTTGTATCTAGAATTAGTGTCATCCTAGAAATGGATGGATTAATTTTTGGTTCTCATGTGACTATTTTAAAAACTTTGGTTTGCATTTCTAGCTTTACAAGTGTGAAAAATGAACTTCTGCCCAGCCATCCATTGGAACTGTCAGAAAAAAATGTAAGTGCAGTGCTCATTTTGGGAACCTCTTAATGCTTTCTTACCAGCAGCCAGTTACAAAGTTTAATTATAGGCCATTGTTACTGTTAACTTCTTGACAAGTACATTTTCAGTGCATCTCAGTGGTTAATAGGATCCTAACATTAATGGAATGAAAGTGCCTCACAGCTGTATTGTTTTGATATCATGCTAATAGTATTTCATTATGAATTTTTGGTAGGTGGCACTTGGATAATAGTTGAAAGAACAGGTAGGGCTTATTTCAGCACAGGAGATTTGATGCGGTAGAACTAAACATTTTCAGGAGATATATTTTTGAGTTCATTCTAATAATATTCCAAAATATGATTCCTGTATTATGCTGAAATTATTGTTCTTTTTGCTGTAGAAGGTTATAAATTGTACAAAAAGCATTGATAGCAAAGAAACCTAAGTATCTGTGTATGATATTGATGTATAATAAGACCCACTTTTAAATAGCAAAAGATACTGACAAGACTAATGTAAGCTATGAGAAGTTAATATTTTTCTTCTGAACTTATGATGAAAATTACAGAGACTGACTAAACCTTTGATGCTTTGCTTAGAGAGGATTTCCTGCCCGGTAACATATATTTCTGCTTACTCGTGTTAAATATCTTTTTTGGAAACATAACTGGCTACTACATCAGTGTATTGTTATCATACGCATTATCGATATAACTTCTAAATATTACAAATTTTTTTAAAAATGAGGCAAAACACTATCTTTTGTCACTGTATGTGCTGCTGTCAGTAGCATCAGGGCAAATATGGAGCCAAAAAATACGTGCAAAATGTATACTGCAAATACGTGCAAAATGATTTTTTAGTTGATGCTTGAAAAGTTTATTTAACAAAAAAAGCATTTTGACTGGATATCTGAAACCAGTACCTGTTACACATATGCTGTATTTTTTATTATAGCTTAGTGCCAGAGTACCCCGTAAGGAGTCAAGACTCAACACTTGCTTTCCTAAATGTTTTAAAACATTAGAACTTGTGTATAAGGTATTTAACAAAAATAAATATCTGCTGAAATCATATAAAGTGATTTCATTATATTAGAGATAGGAAAAGTTTGCCAAACACGAACTTCTTACTTTTTTCAATGATGGCGATGATGACTCTTCCTGTCCGTTCAAAAGACCTACCATGGCTTCTTTTAGACCAGGTTTTATTGAAATTGCTTAGTGATACACAACTATACCACTTGGTGGAGTCCAATGTATCCTGCTTGCCAAAAATAACCAAGTGCTGTTTTAGCCAGTAGCAAGCAGCATGTATAGTAATGCATGATTTTAAAATTAGATTTTCTTTCTCAGTTGCTTAAAACAATTGCACAAAGGTTAATAAAGCTAGCAATCTAGCAACCTATTTACTGCTTCGTCTTTTTTCCTGAGGATTTAGCTGTTCTTTGAAGTATATATTTTTTACAAATATATGTTCTATAGGTGTAACTAAATGCAGTTTTTTAATTTTTTGATAGTTTCAGCTAAACCAAGATAAAATGAATTTATCGACTCTGAGAAATATTCAAGGACTTCATGCTCCTCTAAAGTTGCAAATGGAATTCAAAGCAGCAAAGCAGGTAGGTAATTTTTACCTATTCTAGTAATATGAATTGCCTTACCTAAGTTATAGACATACACATAAACATGCTTTTTTAAAAGCATTTGTTTATTTCAAAATACATTAGATAATATCATCTTCGATACATTTTTCAAGCAAACTCTAAGCAGAACTGGCTTTACTGCATATGATAAAACCTAATGCTGCTTATTTGAAACATTCAGAGTTCTGTTGTTTCAGAAAATTCCAGGTGAAATGATGCTGACCCTCTTAAGTCATATGTGGAATTCTTGCATCCTTCAGGCCTTGGGAAGAGGGCTGCAGAATTGAAGTAATGGCCCTGATTTCTTTCTGCAAAACCTCTTGAGAAACACAGGAAAGGAGCTCTGCTCCTGCAGCCTAAAAGTGTTTGGTGGACTGGAGTGAACAAGGAGGTGGGAAAGAGATCAGGACATTGAAACTCTACGTACATCTCCTCTTTATTCCCTCATCTCCCATCAGCCCTTTTTTGTAAGCCAGGGAAGTTAACTGTGAGTCAGCCCCCCAAATCAAGTTATTTGGGAGATTGAGGCCACCACCCCATTCTGAGTTCACTGGGGATAATCTTTATATTATGGATAATTATAAATTCAGTATGTCCACAGGCATACTTTGTTATATACAAACAAGTATAAGTAACTTACCAGCTAAGTGTTTCTATGTCAAAGACAGTTACGAATACAGGTATGCTGCTGGCTGTTACGCATCTGGTGATCTGATTTTTTACATGCCATTTTAATCAGTTTCCTTACTACAGATTGGACCTCCCTGGTTCAGCACCCTTGGGACCTAACCAGTCCCACATGAGGGATTTTGCCAAAATCAGTGGAGGTCATTTCTGGCCCCCCAGCCACCAGCTCCCATCTCGGCTGTCTCCGGCTGCCCTACCAGGCAGCCTCACCACCTCCGTGTGCTGGGCTGCTGTGCCTTGCTCCTGATGCCGTGCTGGGTAGCTCTGCTGCCTTCACATACTGGGCTCCCGCTGCCTTACTGGACAGCCCCACTACCGTGCATTAGGATCCCACTGTCCTGCCAGGAAGTTCTGCTGTCCTGCCAGCCTGCATGGCTCCCAGTTGCTAGCCTTCCACTGGGACTCTCTGATCCTAGAACCAGACCATAAATGTTGCCAGATTAAAGAGTCCTGGTTTAGTGAGTTTCAACCTGTACAAACTCAGTGACATGCACAGACCTTTTCTTTTTTCCCCAATCAAGCCTGAATATGGAGAAACCTGCATTTATTTCTCACTCTTGCTGTGTTTTCATAGATCCAACGCCTTCCATTTCTGCATAGCTCAAATATAGCATTGGATACACTGAGAGGAAATGATGAATGCATTGGTTTTGAGGATATTCTTAATGGTAAATATATTTTCTTTCAAAGGTTTTCTGAGCTGTCAAAACTTTCTCAAGACTATTAGGGGAAGGTGAGATTTGGAAGCTCTCAAATTCTCTCTGTCCCCAAAAGTTAGGTTTTTTACATTATTATTTTTTTAATTAATGTAAGTTTAGAGGCTAGAAAGGGGTTGTATCAGGAAAAAAATAAATATAGTGAAGCCCCCACTTCAGTGGCATATGTGAAGGGGGAATCTGTCTGCCTCCTTGTTTAATCTTGTTCCATGAAGCCCCTATTTAAATGTAGAACCATGTGTGGTATTTGTTTCATTCCAAATAATTGCTGGGATTTTTAATGTATTCTGTTTAAACTGATTCTGGTATTTTTCTTTGGATATACTATCTTACCTCTTAGATTTGGGCTCTGTGTCTTTCTGTACACACTCACCCACTTGAAACTAACATTCACTGTTGCTTTTTAAAGTACAATGATTCTCTAACTTCTTTAAAACTTTTTTTTTAAACTGGGCTTTGATCACCGTTGTGTAAAACTTTCTTTTGTCACACTCATGTGTGATAACTTAAAACAAAGCTTAAAACTTGTTTTTCTAGGTCACATATGATGTATACCTTTTTGATGCTGGATAATGAAGCTCCTACTGGGCCATGGGATGGTTGTGGGTCAGATCCAGCAGTTAGGCAGGCCGGATGTCGCCAGTGGGCCTTATTTTTCTCGCCCCTGACTTAGAGGATATATAGTCATGTCTTATGATTGTTTCTGTTTCAAACTGTTACTAACTTGGCAAATATTTTACTATTTTTTTCTAGACCCCTCACAGAGTGAAGTTATGGGAGAACCACATGTGATGGTCGAGTACAAGCTTGGTTTATTGTAACACAAATGTAATCCAAACCTGCTGTTCATGAAAACATTTCTTTATGTATCTTTATAGTATACTACAGGTTCAGTGTATAATATTAATATGACATTGACACAATGTTTTTGTTAACTTACCCGCAGGAGATCTCTTGCCTTACTTGATGAATAGGCACATTAAATGTTTAAAGTCTATTATGATTTGTTCTCTGCTTACTGTCAGTATAAATGTCCTATGATGGTATTTTAAAACTGTACAAGAAGAAAACTCTTCATATATTGCTCAGGACAACAGCTGCTTAGTTTTTGAAATATACATATACAAGAAGTACAAAAATTGATGTGCATTTTAAAATTGATTACTGTAGGTAAATGCAGGGAATGGATATTCTTGCAAAAGAACTTTTTGAATATAAAACAGGCATTTTCCACTGAATCACTTTCTGTTCTTAAACTCTTTTAAGCATTGAATAAAAATTTGCTATAAATGCTGTGGTTTCCAAAATATATTTAATTGTAACTCAAGTCTCTATCCTCCAACCTAAGCAATGCTCCTCTCACGATTTGCAGCCCCTTTAAGGAACCTCAGTAGCTCACTGGTAGAAAAGAACTGCTCCACATGCTTTTTTCCCCTCATGCTAAGGTGTCAGAGATGCTCATTCACTAGAACTCAGTTGCCTCATTGAATAGAATTAGACACTTATACGTAATGAAAGTTGGGAGCTGAATTTGGTTTACTTAGCTACTTTTGATAGGAGAACTCCTTGGGATTTCACAGCAGCCTTCCTGAGCTCCACTGCTTTGTGGAATTAAAGCTTCTGTAGCCCTATTTTGGACTGACTCTGTTCCAGCTTACATGGAAACTTAAAATAACCACCTAGTAATATTTAAATGTTAAGGGGGAAATACCTCTATTGAGAGAGGAAAATATACAATTAAAAATGACAGACTGCATAACAAAGGGTCCCAGCAAGAACATTCATTTTTACATAACTGCAGAACCTGACATTAAAACTGAACTGACTTGGTTGTAAGTAAACTCTCAGGTGATAGCCAAAGAGAGATCTCAAAATTAAAAAGTATAAAAGGTATTTTTTTAAAACAAATAGATTTAACGCGGTTTAAAAACACCGTTTAAACTTACTAATTTAATTTACACAGGTTGTGTTAAAGTTAATTTTGAATAGCTTTTAGCATGACATTTATTATTAATTATTGTAGAAAGTTTAGAACAATTCCCCTGTCTAATCTCATACTTCATACAATTGTCAATGTGTATTATGTACACTTTGAGAATGTTACCAACCTAAATGTTAGGGACTGCTGCATCTTTTATAAGCAGGGTCCTATCTTAAGGAGTATACTCCAGTATCTGAACTTTCTTCTTTAAAAAAAAAAAAAATCATTCTCCAGGTCCCATGCTTGCAAAGAAAACTGCCAAAAATAAGCTCCATGCAACTAATATAGTGAAGTCTGCCTACATCTCTAAATGGCCTGAAACAGTAATTCTAAGACATGGTTTACTGCATCTATTGAGCAGATTTGCGTGTTAACTCATAGAATAATGCTGAGAACTTAAATGTTAGGGTACGTCTAGACTACAGGGTTTTGTCGACAGATACTGTCGACAAAGCTTCTGTCAACAAAGAGCGTCTACACTACATTCAGTTCTGTCGACAAAGCACCTTTGTCGACATGGCAGTGTAGACGCAAGGACAGTTTACATGCAATAACACCTTCTGTCGACAGAGTTCTGTCGACAGAAGGCGTTATGCCTCGTAAAATGAGGTTTACCAGCATCGACAAAACTACTGAGTTCTGTCGACGTTATGTTGACAGAACTCAGCGGTAGTGTAGACGCAAGTATAGTTTTGTCGACAAAAGTCCACTTTTGTCGACAAAACTCTGTAGTCTAGACACACCCTTAGTGTTGTCCACTACTGTATCATTGCTGATCATTTCCTCAGAAACCATCAGGCACAAGTTCATTCCACAATCCTATGACTGTGCACTAAAATCCCTAACTGTTCCCTGTGCCTGTGGGCCAAAACAACCTGTTTCCTTCCTGCCAATTCTTTGGTGCAGTTATGCATTTTTAATATAAAATCTTGCAGTGAATTGAACAATGTTGAGGCAGTACGTTATGGTCCAGAAGGGATACTTTCCTGATATGTCATTTTTATATTTAAATTAGTAAAAAGAAATTTAAATTTAAATTAGTAAAAAGAAAAAACCCTAAGGTGGCTGTAGAATTTCCTGTCTGCTTCCCTGGAGAGCTGTGAAAGTTGGGAGTCTTGTTATAAAACCAAATTTAGGTCAAGTTTGCTGTCGAGTATGTAGGGCCTTTTATCTTCGCTTAAGTGAAGTTAGACAAATTAGTGAACAAAAATAGGTCTATTAATTTCTTGCTCTTTAGAGTGGTTTACTTGGCCTTTGCTGTGGGCAGCCAGTAATTAGTATTATTTGCTGCAAATGTCTGATGCAACTATTAAGTAACTAGAATTCATGGTGAGACCTTGGCATAAAGAAGAGTAGAAGGAAAAATTGTCTTACTATCAAATCACATTGGCTGGCAAACAAGCTTAATCTCAGGCTACGTCTAGACTACAAAAAAAAGTCGGAAAAAGATACACACATTTGTGGTTCACATCTTTTCCCACTTTTCTTTCAAAAGAGGCTTTTCCTGCCAAATTTCAGAAAAACCTGCTCTTTCGAGCCATCCCTTCTTCCTCATACAATGAGATTTACAGGCATGGCAAAAACACATCTGATTTTCCAAAACAATTTTTGGAAAAGGGGATGCATTCCTTGGAGGCGGCATTGCTTTTCCAGGATACCTCTAGTATCCTGGAAAAGCGCTACAGTTTAGACATAGCCTCATTCTCTTTATGGTTTCTGTGGCTATGTCTGCAGGCTTTTTTCAGAAGAAGCTTTTCCGGAAGAGATCTCCCAAAAAAACTTCTTCCGAAAGAGAGCATCCACACTGCCAAAGCACATCGAAAAAGTGATTGCTTTTTCAAAAGATAGCATCCACACTGAATGGATGCTATCTCACATTTAAGCTGTGATTGCTAAGGACGGAGTGGCCACCAGGGCACCTGTGCTTTTTCCTCTTTCCTCTTCTTTTGAAAAAACTTCCTCTTCCCCGTCCACACGCGCCTTTTTTCGACAGAGCTCTTTCTCCAAAAGACGGCTTCCTCATAGGAAGGAGTTTACCAACGTAGGAAAACCCCTAAGGTCTTTTTTTTCCCGAAAGAATGCAGTTGCAGCGTGGATGTAAGTGAAGTTTTAAAACTCTGTAGTGTAGACATAGTCTAAGATTAACTAGCCTTTTACTGTCCATGTAAAGGATCACAAAATATCCCAAAATGCTGTTTTGTTTAGGTAAAGATGTTTGCATACAATGTGATCTCCAGTCATTTAACTTGAGTCATGCACATACTATTTTGTATCACTGTAGCTGCATCACTGGAGATATTTAAGAGCAGGTTAGACAGACTCCTGTCAGGGATGATCTAGATAATGCTTGATCCTGCCGTGAGGGCAGGGGACTGGACTCAATGACCACTTGAAGTCCCTTCCACTTCTAGTGTCTTATGATTCTATGAAATTAAGTATGTTGGTGGCCTGAGCTGCTTCAAAATATTACTCCAGCATAAGAACATAAAAACGGCCGTACTGGGTCAGTCCAAAGGTCCATCTAGCCCAGCATCTTGTCTGCCAACAGTGGCCAACACCAGGTGCCCCAGAGAGGATGGACCGAAGACAATGATCAAGTGATTTGTCTCCTGCCATCCCTCTCCAGCCTCTGACAGACAGAGGCCAAGGACACCATTTTATCCCCTGGCTAATAGCCTTTTATGGACCTAACCTCCATGAATTTATCCAGCTTCTCTTTAAACTCTATTATAGTCCTAGCCTTCACAGCCTCCTCTGGCAAGGTTGACAACCTTGACAACACGCTGTGCGAAGAAGAACTTCCTTTTATTAGTTTTAAACCTGCTACCCATTAATTTCATTTGGTGTCCTCTAGTTCTTCTATTATGGGAACTAATAACTTTTCTTTATCAGCCCTCTCCACACCACTCATGATTTTATAGACCTCTATCATATTCCCCCCTCAGTCTCCTCTTTTCTAAACTGAAAAGTCCCAGTCGCTTTAACCTCTCCTCATATGGGACCCGTTCCAAACCCCTAATCATTTTAGTGGCCCTTTTCTGAACCCTTTCCAAGGCCAAAATATCTTTTTTGAGGTGAGGAGACCACATCTGTACACAGTATTCAAGATGTGGGCGTACCATAGTTTTATACAGGGGCAGTAAGATATTCTGGGTCTTATTTTCTATCCCTTTCCTAATAATTCCTAGCATCCTATTTGCCTTTTTGACTGCTGCTGCACTCTGTGTGGAAGTTTTCAGAGAACTGTCCACGATAACTCCAAGATCTCTTTCCTGATTTGTCGTAGCCAAATTAGCCCCCATCATACTGTATGTATAGTTGGGGTTATTTTTCCCGATGTGCATTACTTTACACTTATCCACATTAAATTTCATTTGCCATTTTGTTGCCCAATCACTCAGTTTGGTGAGATCTTCTTGGAGTCCTCACAGTCTGCTTCTGTCTTGACTATCCTCAACAGTTTGGTATCATCTGCAAACTTTACTACCTCACTGCTTACCCCTTTCTCCAGATCATTTATGAATAAGTTGAAATTGTATTGCTTTGTGTATGGTTATTTGTCAAAAGAACAATATCCAAACATTTAGAAGACTAGACAGATATCTACTTTATTATATCAAAAGGTTGTTTGAATTTATACAAAAGTATAAATATTTCACTTGTCAAATCACTCAATTGCTACAAATTTAAGGTTTTATCAAAACTGCAGAGTACAGTAATGCCAGGAGGCTTCATGCAACAGTCTAGATAAATGTATAAATAATGCATTATCTACTTGTTTCAATCTAAGTGCTATATTTACCAGAAACATTTTGCACCTCTATACAGACACAAGTCTACAAAACCTGGTCATATACATTGTGTGCTGCAAGACTGACCTAATACATTCTATTTTCCCACCCATGTAATATGGTCAGCTATGAAAATTCTCATTTGGGCCAATGAAATGACCTTGTTGCAGAACTGGGGTTTTTGGATTACTGGCAGATACTGCCAGGGACAATGACAGAACAACTATAAAGAAAGGGAAATATGACGGCAAAAATTTCTCCTTTTTGAATTGCTGCATTTTCCAGGAACTAGACAAGGCAGCTTCATTCTACATAGTTAATATCAGAAAATATTTTATAACCTGTTCAGATTAGATTGTGTGTGGCCTAGCTGAAGGGCCTAAAAACTTCACATCACACTTATGAAAAAGTGTCTTGTTTTCTCATTAAATACTGTGCACATCTCTGAAGCAAAAAGTTATTTACAATTCACGGTTTTTTTCAGTGTGTTAAAGAGCCTTTAGACTCAAGGAAATCATATGCAAACACTTGGAAGGTAATAAAGTGATAGGGAATAGCCAGCATGGGTTTGTGAAGAACAAGTCAAGCCAAACTAATCTGATAGCTTTCTTTGATAGGATAACGAGCCTTGTGGATAAGGGAGAAGCGGTGGATGTCATATACCTAGACTTTAATAAGGCATTTGATACGGTCTCGCATGATATTCTTATTGATAAACTAGGCAAATATAACTTAGATAGGGCCACGATAAGGTGGGTGCATAATTGGCTGGATAACCGTAGTCAGAGAGTTGTTGTTAACGGTTCTAAATCCTGTGGAAAGGGATAACAAGTGGAGTTCCTCAAGGGTCTGTTTTGGGACCCGTACTGTTTAATATCTTCATCAATGATGTAGATATTGGGATAGAGAGTACGCTTATTAAGTTTGCAGATGATACCAAAGTGGGTGGGGTCGCAACTTCTTTGGAGGATAGGGACATAATTCAAAATGACCTTAGCAAGTTAGAGAAATGGTCAGAGGTAAACAGGATGAGGTTTAATAAAGAGAAATGCAAAGTGCTCCACTTAGGAAGGAACAATCAGTTCCATACATACAAGATGGAAAGCGACTGTCTAGGAAGGAGCATGGCGGAAAGGGATCTAGGGGTCATAGTGGACCACAAGTTGAATATGAGTCAACAGTGTGATGCTGTTGCAAAAAAAGCAAATATGATTCTAGGTTGTATCAACAGGTATGTTGTAAGCAAAACTCGTGAAGTCATTCTGCCGCTCTACTCTGTACTAGTTAGGCCTCAGCTGGAGTACTGTGTCCAGTTCTGGGTGCCACATTTCAAGAAAGATGTGGAGAAATTGGAAAGGGTACAGAGAAGAGCGACAAGAATGATTAAAGGTTTAGAGAACATGACCTATGAAGCCAGGCTTCATGAACTGGGCTTGTTTAGTTTGGCAAAAAGAAGATTAAGGGGGGGACATGATAGCGGTTTTCAAATATCTAAAAGGGTGTCACAAGGAAGAAGGAGAAAATTTGTTCCTCTTGGTTTCTGAGGACAGGACAAGGAGTAATGGGCTTAAAGTGCAGCAAGGGAGGTTTAGATTGGACATTAGGAAAAAATTCCTAACTCTCAGGGTGGTCAAATATTGGAATAAATTGCCAAGGGTGGTGGTGGAATCTCCCTCTCTGGAGATATTTAAGAACGGGTTAGATAGACAGGGATTGTGTAGACGGAGCTTGGTCCTGCCTTGAGGGCGGGGGGCTGGACTCGATGACCTCTTGAGGTCCCTTCCAGTCCTATTATTCTATGATTCTATGATTCAATGTGAACTGATGCTTTCTACTTAGTGAGTATCATAAGTGTGTTGGTGGTATACAAATGTAAAGGAAGAAAAAGACCTTGGCCTGAAGAGTTTGCCGTCTAGATCATACACATCCCTTTACAGCATTCATCTTGATATGTCAAAGACTTTGCTAAATCTAAGTAGGATGTTCTTAGTGTGACTGACTGAAAAGAGGAAGGTCATTTGAGTTGCACATGCAGATTTGTGGTCTCTCCCATATGATGACAAAGATGTTTATCTTACCAGAGTTCTGCCCTTTTGCTGTTAAAAGTATACGCACAAAGTTAGTTTACATGCAGCAGCCAATTTCCTAACATAATAGTCCTAAGAAGGTGGCTAAAGTGAATTCCAACCAATTTACTTTAATCCAATTACGGCACCAAATATCTGCTTCATAAAAACAGCAATTTGGAGCCTCTCTTTGCTTATTGATAGATTAAGGCAATCGTAGTTGTAAAAATGACATGGATTTTTCTTTTAAAAGAGCAAGGAGGGCATGCAGAGTTGTGCATTATATATTGCAATTGCCTGCTGTGATTTGTGCACAAAGGTGTCATAGTGCAAGGCTAAGGATCCAGGAACTGAGTCTGAACTTCTGTTCTGGTGTTAACTTGTTTTGTGGCCCAGAGCAAGTCACTTAACCACTCTGTTTCCTCATCCCAAAACATGTGGTATCTACCTCAGAATTACTTAAATAAGTATTTGTCAAGTGCTTAAAAGATTAAAAGTGCTACACAAGTTTAATTACAATTAGAGTGCATTCAGTGCAAAACAATGAGATGTGTGGATTAAATTGGACATGTCTACATTGTTGGGAAGATCGATGCTGTGATGGTTGATCTTCTAGCGTTTGGTTTAGTGGAGACATGCTAAATCGAACACTGGGGGCACCCACAGTTGAAGCTGGTACTCCTTTCTGTTGAGGATTAAGGAAGTTGATGGGGAAAAGGTTTACATCTCCCATCAACCTCCCACAGTGAGGATGGTGCCCTAGCTCAGCTTAAGGCAAGTCAACTCCAGCTATGTTATTTACATAGAACTGTGTATCTTAAGCCAACCTTCCCCCATAGTGTAGACCTGTCCTTAGGCATATCAAGGATATAAAAAAAATCCACAGAAGAAAAAGATATAAGTGGAGCTACATTACTGATAAATGAATGGTATATTGATAGGAGGGGAAAAAAGGAATACCGATTGAAATTAAAAGGCAGTAGATTTAAAACTGATTTTAAAAAAATCTTTTACACAATCTGGCTTATGCACATGCTTAAGTTTATACACTGCAACTAATATTTGAAGTCAGACTATTTGCTGCATAACATGCATGTGCTTATGTTTTTGCAAAATTGGGGTGTTTATAATTAGCCTATATTATTGAAACAAATGATTTAGCATATTTTTACAAAGATTTAAAACATTTAGGGCCAAACCTTGGTTCAGTTGAAATTAATGACAAAACTCCCAGAACAGGTTGAACCTCTCTAGTCTGGTACCCTTAGAATCTAAATGGTGCCGAACCAGATAATTTTCTGAACCAGAGGAGGTCAATATTGTCTATCAACATTACCCACAGTTCTACTGCTTACTGGACTCTTAGAAGACATCTAGGGGTAAATTAGAGCTAAATAAAAGCACAGAACACTGAGCCAGGACTGGTGGCCATAAACAGACTTTATGGGACCCTAGGAAGCTTGGCCACACCCATGGTAAGTGGACATCTGGCTAACTAAAATCATGCCAGACCACAGATGTTGCTGACCAGAGAGTGCACAGCACAGACTGGTCACTAGGTAAGGCGGTATAAAGCGTAGTCTGTGTGGCTTTCTATTCTGCAGGTAGGGGGAAGGCTTTGTCTAATCTCTTTGTCTAATCTCCCTGCCCCCTGCCCATTCTCAGCTGCTATTGGCTGGAAACAACCAGCAAATAAGAGCTGAGAGATTGGCTGGCAGATGAGGGCAACGCAAGTCTCTTTCTCCTGGCGCTGAGACACATGGGCTGCGTCTAGATTGGCATGATTTTCCGGAAATGCTTTTAACAGAAAAGTTTTCCGTTAAAAGCATTTTCGGAAAAGAGCATCTAGATTGGCACGGACGCTTTTCCGTAAAAGCACTTTTTGCAGAAAAGCGTCCGTGCCAATCTAGATGCGCTTTTCCACAAAAAAGCCCTGATGGCCATTTTTTGCGGAAAACAAATCTCAGCTATCTACGCTGGCCCTTTTGCGCAAAAGGACTTTTGCCTGAACGGGAGCAGCATAGTATTTCCACAAGAAGCACTGATTTCTTACCGTAGGAAGTCAGTGCTTTTGCGGAAATTCAAGCGGCCAGTGTAGACAGCTGGCAAGTTTTTCCGGAAAAGCAGCTGATTTTCCGAAAAAACTAGCCAGTCTAGACACAGCCCTCAAGGGTGCAGCCTAGAGTTTGAAGTGGTCTGGGGCTGCAGCAGGCAGGGAGTCCAGCCTTTCTTGGGGACGCTGCAGTGCTGCTGGCCAGGAGACACTTAGGTAAGCACCTCCCAGCTACAGCTTCCCTCTGGAACCCCTGCCCCTCCCCCAGGTCACCATCCAAATCCACTGTACCCCCTCTTACACCCCTCCCTCAGGCCAGAATCCTCTCCTGCATCCAAACACCTACACAGACTCTGCATCCCATTCTCCTGACCCAACTCACCCCCCTCCTTCACTCCAAACTCCTCACACCATCTCCTGCACCCTAGTCCCTCACCCTGTGCACCCTTCTGTACCCAACCTCCATCCTCTCCACAGAAAAGTTCAGCCCTTGACCACTTTCCAAAAATTTGGAATGGTCCCCCTCCCACCAAAAACTGCCCACTCCTGAGCTAGGGTCAGGAACAGATACCTCTTCTCACTTTTGTCACTGCCATATACAAGACGGGGGATGGATATACTGTGTTCTGGCACAACAATTTCTATGTAAAATTAATAACTTAACTTATGAGTGAGATTATGTCCGTATCCATCCAATGACTGTAGGAATACAATTAGAGATTAGAGTGTACACTGAAGGCGATGAGCAAAAGTCATCACAATATTGCAGCTGGTTGATGTGTATGAAACAAGCTGGCCTCAGCGGTGTTTCAACAAGCTGAGTGTCCATATCAAGAATCCAAAACAATGGAGCTGGATGGTTGGAGTACCTAAGAACACATTGTCTTCTGCTTAAAAATTCACACAGCTTAATCTGGGACAATGCTGGTTGTGTACCCTATGTATCTTGTGAACTTTGTAACCGATACTTGTAATTTTTCATAACCCAAGCTTAACCCCAGATGTACACTGCTTTCTTTTAAACCTGTGTAACATGAATTTGATTTCAAGTATTTGCTCATTTTAAACTGTCCTATAGGCTCTACAGTAACACAAAAATCCTTTGAGATGCACACTGTGGGCCAGATCCTCAGATGGTGCAAACTGGCATAGCTCCATTGGCGTCAATAGAACTACAGTGATTTATACAAGCTGATAATTAAGAAAACTCTCACTGTCACACAAATTAAGATGACAAAGCTGCACCATATCACTTCAAATCCATTTCAGACCTGAGAGAGAACAAAATATGGCTCTGACATTTTTTTCTTAATTCTGAAAGAGACATTTGCAAATCCTAGAGCAGTGTTTCTCAACCAATGGTACGAGTACCCTTACGGGTACTCAAGAGAAGTCTGGGGGGTACGTCAACACAACTGAAATTTAGAGAAAACTGAATGTTTGTTTTTTTAAAGGGGTACTTTATAAAAAAAAGGTTGAGAAACACTATCCTAGAGCACAGCATATAAAAAGTCATTCTAAATTCTGATTCATAAATGGATAATTTAAATTGTTTTTGCTATACTTTAAAAACTGATAGACTTTCTACACTTACCCTTTTTGTATAGTTAAATATAAGGATTATACTCATTCTAGCATCAAATAGGAAGACTGGAAATGCTAGCAGTTATATGGTCATTGTTGAAGATTTACTGTCCAGTTTTCATCTACAACTGTCAGACTCTCTCCCCAGTTTGTGCCACTACACATCAGAAACCCCGAGTAGGTGAATTCTTTGTTCATCTCTCATTACTTTCTTCACTGGATACTTCTTCATATTCACGTGATGCCAAGTCCTCTTCGTGCCAGCTGGTGCACATAAGCCAGCTGGAACAGAGAGATAAGCCACAAAGACATTTTTAGCTAAGATAGTAATGTATAGTATATGCTGAATCAGCACCAACAATATACCCAATGACTTTCTGCACAGAAAGGTCCAGGTGGCTTAATAAATAAAGCAATGATAATACTTGCTCTGTGTAACATGAGTTAGACAATCTCATTTCAATTCTCTGTGAAAAGCACTAAGCCACCATGCCTGATTTAGCACAAATTGGAACAAGCTGCAGTTTCTACTCTGCGATAATACCATTGCATGACATCCTCAAAAAGGATGTTTTCTCAGCATTAGAGTGAATTTATTCTCAGGGCAGTGTACCATAGATGATAAGGCACTAATCTGGAGTGGAGAGGGATGTGATGATCTTCAGAACTAACGGTCATACTATTCTATAGTCCTTGAATCCAAGATGGATTAATTTACTGGTATGTGCCTATGACCATTTGTTCAGAAACGTTGTTCTGAAAGGAACTGTCCTTGTTATACTTGAAATTATAGATTGTGTTATAGCTCTCTGTATCTGAGGTACTCATTTGGCCTCCATTATCACAGTATCTAAGAACCTCAGTGTCTTTATTTTACTATTTTATTCTAAAATACTCTCCACTTCCATGATGAGACCCATTCTTTTCCAGCCCCATTAAACCTATTAGGTCAGCATCAATGATACATTACTCCAGTTTAAAGACAGGGCAATTCAATTTAATTAGAGTGGCATAAAACTGGAGTGATGTAGTAATGAATCAGGTCCAAGGTTTGGAAAGGTTGAAAGGCACTCAAATCTGCAGTGTTCTTAATGTCTCACTGTTCTGATCTGCAAGTCCAGAACAAAAGGCATTTGAGGTAAAGTCTAGGTTTGAGGTTAAAAGGTTAACACTGTACTATCCCTGTTAGTAAATATTTAACTTTCTGTGAACTGGGAGAATGGCTTTGTCAATTCCATTAATTTTCATTGATATTTCAAATGTTTCAGATGAGTTGTTTATATTAGAGAGAATATCAAGTATCTTCATACAGGAAGATCTGGATGATCTTGTAAATTGGAGTGATAGCAATAGGATGAAATTTAATAGTGAGAAGTGTAAGGTTATGCATTTAGGGATTAATAACAAAAATTTTAGTTATAAGCTGGGGACACATCAGTTGGAAGTAACGGAGGAGGAGAAGGACCTCGGAGTCCTGGTTGATTATAAAATGACTATGAGCCGCCATTGTGACATGGCCGTGAAAAAGGCTAATACGATCTTGGGATGTATTAGGCGAGGTATTTCCAGTAGGGATAAGAAGGTGTTAGTGCCATTATACAAGGCACTGGTGAGACCCCATTTGGAATACTGTGTGCAGTTCTGGTCTCCCATGTTTAAGAAGGATGAATTCAAACTGGAACAGGTACAAAGAAGGGCCACTAGGATGATCCGAGGAATGGAAAACCTGTCTTATGAAAGGAGACTCAAGGAGCTTGGCTTGTTTACTTTAACCAAAAGAAGGCTGAGGGGAGACATGATTGCAGGACACTATGATCAGAATATTATTTCCCAAAGAAAACCAATAGATGTAAAGAGAAACATCAAGGGAAACGTAGCTGTGATAATGCTAGCTATAAAAATAATGGCAAGTAAAATCCTTTCACCAGGGGTTGCATTAACAATTTTTTTTTCATTTATATTATGAATAAAGCTTCATAAAACCTTATGAGTATCTCCACTTGACAGAGACACAGCGAGTTAGATGACTGAGGGATGATAGGAGTTACTATAGAGAACTTTCTGGGTGTCTGGCTGATGAGTCTTGCCCACATGCTCAGGGTTTAGCTGATCGCCATATTTGGGGTCGGGAAGGAATTTTCCTCCAGGGTAGATTGGCAGAGGCCCTGGAGGTTTTTCGCCTTCCTCTGTAGCATGGGGTACAGATCACAGCTAGAGGTTTCTCTGCATCTTAGGGTCTTCAAAGTATTTGAAGGCTTCAATATCTGAGATATAAGTGAGAGGATTATTCTGGGAAGGGTGGGTGAGATTCTGTGGCCTGCACTGTGCAGGGGGTCAGACTAGATGATCATAATGGTCCCTTCTGACCTTAAAATCTATGAGTCTAAGTGAATTTAGATATTCTGAACACCAAGGAATTTGTCCTGAATGTTACTGAAATATAGCTGGTTGAGTGTGGGCAAATATTATATAACTGTCCTTTAACCCCAACTTTTCTTATATGCATGGAGATTTACCCACATAGGGCTTCATTCCACACTATTCATTTTTAATGCTGCAGGATCAAGGCCAAAGGACCTGGATGAAAATGCTCCCATTATTTTCAATGGGTTAACTCTCATTAGCAAGACTATACTATACAATTGGGCTCCCTGCATTCATACAGCTTGATAACCCTCATTTATCCCCAATTTTGCCCTCACATGCACCAGACTCACTCACACGCATCCAGGGATAGAATTTAATCCAACATTAGGAAACTCAGGTTGGACTTAAATATGGAGCCAAGTCAGCTAACAAGTGAGAGGCAACATATATCCAATAAGCCACTCAACTTCACTTCATACATAAATATATTTCTACTGCAGTAAAAAATCCGTATTATATATACTTACCACAGGACAGCCAGTGGAATTATACAAAGACCAGCTGAGAAGAGGAAACTGAAGCCTGGAAACCAAGCTACAGTGGCTGCATAGAGACTATTAAAGACTGCATATGAACAGGCACCAGTCAAAACTTCTAAGCAGGCAATGCAAGCAAACACAGCACCTGTTAACATAAAAATATCTGGATAACAATACAGTGTTCTCCAAGTATTGAAACAAAAGTCATTCACTTTGATCAGAGAAAAGGATTAATAAAAAAACAAAAGATCCACGACACTTGCAGTTCCACATCCTACAATTACTATACAGCATCACAGTTAGAATGATTTACAGGGCACTATCTTCAAAATTGTTACGCGACCAAAGCAGGTTGTCAATGGAGATTATCTTTACTACCACTCTTCCCCTGTAACTCCTTTCTGTTCTTTCATATCAAGTCCAAACAACTGATTTTCACTTGCAGAGTTCTGTGCAACTCCACCTGCTACCTCATCTACTTTTTTCTTTATATCTATCTTTTCCCAATTTTGTTGTTTTTTCATGCGAACCCTTTATAGGTTGAACAGCTTCCAGCAAATGTTCAACAAGGGTCTGTTCAAAGCAGATGCCTCTATCCTCCTTCTGCCTTTCCAAAAATAAAATTTAAAAAAAATCCCACACTACCTCAGTCTATACTTTTTGTATTATATTACCTCCACAACATCCCTTTAGATTGTATACTCTTTAGGAAAGGAAGTCTTCTTTCGGCATGCTTGCCCATGGCACAGCATTATGAATGCTTATGGCACCAATATAGCTAAAATAACCATAATAATTAAGCTAAAGAGGTCACAAATTCATAAATTCATAGTTCAGAAAGCCAGAAGGGACCACTGTGGTTAACTAGTTCGATGCCCCGTATAACACAGAATTTCCCCCCGAATAATTCCTAGAACAGATCTTTTAGCAAAAACATCTAGTCTTGATTTAAAAATTGCCAGTGATGGAGAATCCACCATGACCCTTGGCAAGTTATTCCAATGGTTAAAAGGTTTTCCACTGTTAAAAAGGTAGGCTTAATTTCCAGACTGAATCATCTAACTTCAACTTCCAGCCATTGGATTTTGTTATACCTTTTTCAGTCAATAATAGACTGAAGAGTCTATTATTAAATATTTGTTCCCCATGTAGATACAACTAGACTGCAATCAAGTCAACCCTTAATCATCTCTTTGTTAAGCTAAATAGAATGAGCTTTTTGAGCCAATCACTACAAGGCATATTGTCTCCTGCATCAAGCCACTCAAGTACAGGCAATCCCTGAAAGAAAGTTCCTCATTTGTTGTTTCTTGCCAATTAGAATGATTAGAAAGAGTACAAATAAAAACACCTTTGTTTTGCTAAATATATTATAAATATTTAATAGCTCAAGAGAACTCTTGTGCTATAAATGAACTGGCACTTTCAAGCTCATCTTTGTCTCTTGGTAGGGAGATTATTTACAGGGATAGCTGAGAGATGTTGGACTTGTGTTTTGGAGTTCGGAACTGAATATTGCTTCTGTTTGCATTTCTTACTTATTCTACACTTCCAACTGCATTTCTGATTGATTTTGTGCCCTTGTTTTTGGTGGAGTTTCTGCTTCTGACTTGGTGTTACTCTGTTCTATGCTGTTTTATCTTGGATCCAATCTTTTAATAAATGCAAAATCACAGATTATGGTGCACACATATTTCAAACAATAAGCCATTCCTTACCATCTTTAAACTAAACATCAATGAAAACCTTGAAGAATAGCAAGCTTGGTTTTTGTACCTCTCTATACAAAGTGGCTACGTCTAAGAACAGCTCTTGTGCAAGGGGGGGTGTGTGTGGAAAAAGGAGCCATCTACTTAGCTCCTCTTTGTGCAAAAGCCTCTTGCGCAAAAATAACCCCTAATTAATTATTCAAATGAAGCATGGCAATATGCTAATCTGCACTTCATTTGCATAGGCTTTTGTGCAAGAAGGAAGCAATATAACTGTAGCCAGTGGTTTCCATTTGAAAACTAAACATACATAATTTCATATACGTAAGAATTAGTGTCTTGTCATTTGGGAAACTTACTACTTACCGTAAGGTAGTGGTGAACAACTCTCTATCAGTGTTCTTGATTCTTTTCAGTCTTTCAAGTGTTTTGAACTTTGACCATTCATTTTTTACCAATCTAAATATAACTTGTAAAGGCTGACTAAAGACAAGATGTATTTTTTTTCTGAATGTGAAAACTTGCACTTGTCAAATGCTATAACAAAACTGTATAACAGATCTTTACTTTTAACCTCACTTCAAGTTTCCAGGGGGTCACTGTTTTTGAACTCAAGTGCCAACCAATATTTTTCCATAGAGAAATTCTGACCAGGTGTTAACATCTAATCTTGCTTATGTTAACTTTTAAACAAAACAAAAGCTACTAGAATTTTATTAAAATAAAGTATTTTGATGATAGACAGAATCTGAAATTAAAATATTACTTTAAAAAGCTAGTACAAGCAAAGAAATGTAACCTCTGCACACATATATGTTATAAACATTTTATAAGTTAGAGCCCATTTGTTCTAAATAGGCCTATTTGCCTAATGACTTCATTTATTTAACAAATTCAACTCACCTTGTTCACTAGCCAGAACCACTTTCGACAACATAGACCGTAGAACTGGAATGGGCATAAAACATAGGAGAGAGGGCACCCTCACTGCAAAACAATATAATTATCATGAATCACTCAAATAATAGCATTTTTAGAATTTAAAGGTGAACTACAATGTTTTTTAAATGTTCTAATAGCATTTTTATGTGTCAAATGTCCCAAATAGTAAAAGTGATAGATGATTCAAACTATAATTACTATTATACTGACGCTTCAAGGGGTAGCTGAGTTAGTCTGTACAGGATAAACTTAAAAAACAACAAATGGTCTGGTAGCACTTTATAGACTAACAAAACATGTAGATGGTATCATAAGCTTTTATGGGCACAGCCCACTTCTTCAGATGCCCACGAAAGCTCATGATACCGTCTACATGTTTTGCTAGTTTATACTGTACTATTATACTATAACACAATTATCTTAAATGATCTTAGCAGAGAAACATTCATAAACCCAGTGTATATACATGATATTAAAAGCAAAAAAGCCATAAAGCAGTATTTTCATTCATTTGTCACATTTTTCATTTTTGAATTCACATTTAAAATCTAATACAAATTCGATAGAACATTACTTTTTTTGTTGTTTTTAAAATATCTTTAGCTTCTTTTAAAGGATAAGATGGCTTAATTATATAGTATACTAGCCAATTAGCCCGTCATAAGAAGGGATTTTCAGGTCTTCTCTCCTGAGCTCTCTCTCTCTCCTCCTACTGCCTCCCCCTCTCTCTCTCAGGTCTCCTCCGCCTCCTTCCTCATTCTCCGTCTCGTTCTTTCTCTTCTCCCCTTTTCTCTTCTCCTCCTCCTCCTGCCTCTCTCTCCCCTCCATCTCTCCCTGCTCCCCTTCCCCTTCCCCTGGGCTGCCGGGAGGGAGGGATGTGGGACAGTGACGTACACGGCCAGGGGGCAGGGCCGTGTACGTCACCGCCCCACACTCCCTTCCCCTCCTCCCGCCATGGGGGAGCCCAAACGGCCCCTTGTGCTGCTGGCTTCCCCAGCAGCCCAGCTGAGATGCGCAGCACTCAGCTGAGCACTGCAGCAGAAGAGGAAGGGGGGGCGGTGATGTACACCGCCCCGTCCCCTGGCCATGTACATCACCGCCTCCCCCCTTCCCCTTCCTCTGTGGTGGCTCTGCTGAGTGTTGGGCGCTCAGCTGGGCCGGCCAGCCACATCAGGTGGGGCGGAAGATACCAGGCATTACTGTTTACCCAGAGAGGATGGGAGAGATCCTCGAGCAGTGGTCCCCAAACTTTAGGGGCTGTTGGGCACCCAGGGGCGGGGCTGCGCATGGGCCGTGCACCCAGGGTGCAAGAATGGCTTGGGCCGGCCCTGGTCACTCAGCGGGTGCACATAATGCCCCAGCGGGCGCCATGGTGCCCACAGTCACCGCGTTGGGGGCGACTGTCCTAGAGGAATGGAAAAGGCAAATGTAGTGCCAATCTATAAATAGTATAGCCCAGTGTCTGTGCATCTGTAACGCTGACGTACACCTCACCTCCCTGCCCCCCTTCCCCTCCCTCCATGGTGGTTTGGCCGAGCTCTGTGCCGCTCAGCTGGGCCCCGGCGGGAGGGGAAGGGGAGCAGGGCGCTGACATACACAGTCAGGGGGCATAGGTGTGTACGTCTGGGTTACAGACTCACAGACACTGGGCTACTATATATATGATAACAATTTTCACATATTTCATGAATCAAAAGGACCTGCTTTTGAACTCACCTAAAAACATGAGCAGTGTAGTTTTGGCAAAAGCAGCCATGACTATTCCTCCAATGTAAGAAAACATCCCAATGAAGACAATATAGATGTCCCTGAGACAATGTGAAAACAAATAAACTCCTAAAAAACTGGTCAGAGAAATAGAAGTGAATGTAGCTGCTCCATATCCTATATAGATTTCATTCCAGCAGAGTGGTTCATCCAATTCATACAACGTAAAAAGAGAACTCCCACCAATCCAGGTAAAAAAATACATCATGAAGGTAAAAAGCAATACAATGATTAAAGTTCGTTTTTTACAAGTGGAAGCTTTAAAAAGCATGTACACTCCAGAAAATGTTTCTTTAAGACCTTCTATACAAGATACTGATGTGTTTTGCTGGAATTCTGATACACGTACTGTTTCCTCTAGCCAAAATATAATATAGAAAATATTAATAAGGTGAAGCAGAGAAGCAACCCCAAATGTCCATGGAAAGCCTAATCCCCTTATGAAGTAGCCAGAAGTCAGTCCTGCTAATCCAGAAGAAAGTCCAAAAATCAAATCAACCGCAGCTATGCGTATAGTTTTCTGCTTCTCTTCCTTACATAGGTCAGCTATAAAGGCAAAGCCTCCTCCAATGAAAGTTGCAAGGCTTCCAAACAGTGAACCAAAAAATGAAATTGCAAAAAAAATAGAGTGGGACAGGGAGAAATATGATAATGCACTGAGGAGAATGTTGGATATAAGACCTCCCACTGAAGGCAGAACTAAAGATTTTTTGCGTCCATGGCGATCCCCATCAGCTACAAGGATAATGGCAACCAAAATGCTGGGAACTGTGCTAGTTAAGTCCATCTCCATGAGAAAAAGAGAGGTCTTTTCTTGGACTTCCTGCAAATGGAAAAAAAAATGAAGTAGTTATGTGCCCAAAAAATTCTACTGGTTAACCTTTGTGCTCCCTTTCCCTTCCCTCAATATTTGTCACACCTCTTGTTGTATTTTGACTTAGGGCACCATCCTGAACACTATCATTTAGGCAACTAGTCCTTACATGATGAGTAGTCCCAATGGAGTCAACAAGCCTACTTTTATGCGTATGCATTTGCAAATTCAGGCCTCTATTCTGTGATACCTTCAGCAAATGGACATTGGGTCTGCTTTCACTCTTAGTGAAGTTGTGATAAAATTACTACTTCTTTATGGCCAGATGCTGATTCCATTACTCAAAAGAAGTAGCATCTTACTCCACAAATAATTCTATTGAAATATGAAATTTAGTGCAGAGAAGCAGGATCAGAATCTGGCTCTGAACTGTTATTTTATTTATCTATGCTACCTCAATAAATAATGATGCATATAAAAGAGAGACAGTAGGTCTTCAGAATTACAAACACCTCAGGAATGGAGATTGTTCGTGACTCTGAACTATTCATAACTTGGAAAAATGTTATGGTTGTTTTTTTAGAATTTTACAACTGAACATTGATTTAATACAGCTTTGGAAATGTATTATGCAGAAGAAAAATGTGTCTTTTAACTATCTGAATCTAAATTAAATAAGCACAGAAACCATTTCCCTACCTTGTCAATTTTTTAAAAAATTCTCTTTATATTTTAGAAGTTTGTGTTTAACGCACTACTGTACTGTATTTTCTTTCTTAAATTTTGATTCTGCTCTGCCTGATTCCTTACTTCCAGTTCCAAATGAGGTGTATAGTTTACTAGTCAGTTTGCAATTGTGATGTTCGTAAATCTGAGTACGATTAGTTTTATGCTATACAGTATAACCTGGCACATCTATCTTCTTTTTACTATATATTTTAGAAATGTGTGTCTGTCTATCTGTCTGTCCATCCACGAGTCTGTTTGTTCAAGAACTCCTCTTAAATGGTAAGAGCTAGGACTACCACATCTGGATGTAGCTTCCTCTTATCATAACTTAAAGCTAGGTAAGAATTTAGTCATGCCAGGACAATGGGATAGACCTGGAATTTGATTGTTAGTCATAAAATGAAAAGGGAGGGGTCTGGCAGGAGGGAGTTATATTGCAGAATGAGCAGCAAGGGGACCAGGACAGCTATAACTCCATTAAGCCAGCAGCAGACGGGGTGGAGGAAAGGGAAGTTATCTACTATGTATTTCAATGAGTTCGTCTGTTTGTGTGTCTGTCTGTCTGTCTGCCTCCATACCTCTGGGGACATGCACCCCTATACTAACTGTGCCTACTACAGCTGAAGTGGCCAAGGACAGGTGCTTCTCACCTGGCCTCAAGCTGCTATGGTGAGAGAGGGCTGGGGTTGTCTTCTCTCCCCAGGGCAGCCTGCATACTGAACCCCTCAGCCCCAGAGACAACCCAGAAAAATTATTTAAATGAAGAAAAATAAAACTTATTTCAGTTAAGGACCCAAGCAATGTTGGGTAAATCTTCTAGTACTTCATATTATCACATAGTATCATATGACCCAAGAAGCAAGACCCAAGAAATCATTTCCTCCACTCTACTCTGTGCTGATAAGGCCTCAGTTGAAATACTGTGTCCCGGTCTGGGTTTTCAGGACCAATGTGGACAAATGGGAGAAAGTCCAGAGGAGAGAAACAAAAATTATTAAAGGCCTATAAAACATGACCTATGAAGAAAGACTGACAAAAATGGACTTGCTTAGTATGGAGAAGAGAAACTGGAGGGGGGGGGACATAAAAAATTTCCAGTACTCATAGGTATAAGAACTGGGAGTACATAGGGTGCGACAGCACCCTCAGCCCATGCCCACGACTCCACTTCTGCCTCCGCATAGAGTCCCAGCTGCTGGCCTGGCCTGCACCCGGAGTTCCTGCTCCTGACCCCATGCCCAAAGTCCCAGCAGCCTGTCATATAAGAAGCCATACACAGGGCCTGCAGCCCAGAGAGCCGGGATGAAAGCTTTCATCCTTGAAGTACAGCGCCTCGTACAGTCTTGATCCCTGCAAATGAAAACACCAGATGGCCCTTATCGACCGGAGCCCATGCAGCTGAGCTGGGAATGTAGTGAGGAATAAATCACATCAACCTCAATTTCAACTTCATGAAAATGCTAAGAGTGGCATGGGACCAGTACTTGCACACCCAGTAAACAACTGTGATATAAATAGTGAGGGAATTCCTGTACCTAGACCTCGGAGGGTGCCCTGAATTCCCCTTCTCCCAGCTGGAGCCACGTCAACCGTGGCCTTTGAAGTGAGGATCAGGAATGGGACTCCCCACAGTAGAAGGTACATAAGCATTCCAAGTGCCTTTTACTCTTATATGCATTGCATTGCTCTATAGTGCTTGCTAATGTGCACCCTGTAATATCTGTATAACAACAATTCAGCATCCTTAACTCTGTAGTAGCAGTGACATAGTGAGACTAATAAAACAAACTATCCCTGTTGAAGCAAATCCATTATCCTGTTCGTCCATGGCCCTGTGAGTTGACACAGCCCTGTGCCCAGCAACTCTAGTGTAAAAAAGGACTAAAATAACTCTGAAAGTTCACTTGGAGCTTCCAAAGTATCATGAAGTGGTGGTGCTGGCCTTTGTTTACTTGCAGAGTGGGTAAGATGGATGGTGCTTCAAGCCCACTCAGGATAGTCTAAGATCCTGAAGAAAATTCAGTAGATCTTAAGACAACCAAGGCTCAGGTGTTCACAGGAAAGGCAAGCCCCCTATTCTATTCTCTGGCCTGCCTTATCCCATGCCCTTATGGCAGCCCAGCTGTCTCCGAAGTCATATTGTCATGGCCTTTCTGCCTACATTACTGCTACTCTGAGGGGCTTTGATAACCTGGATCTGGAACCAGGTCAAAATGTAGGCTCATGCTTTGGTCCTTAATAAATTCCCCCTAACAGGTTTTGAGCCAGAGAAATGGGTTTTCTGCTGTTTCCATCTAGTTTCTGTTTGAGAACAGAGAGCAAGCTGGGGCCTAGAGAGTGAGGAAGGAAGCCACCTGATAAGCACAAAAAAAGGGTGAAGGGATGAAAGGGCCCTGTGTACAGAGTGCAGCGGTGCAAAGGAAAGACAGGCATCCTGAAAGGGGAGAAGGGATTATCCTAAAGAGGAAAAGAGGAGCATGGATAGGGAAACTACTTGTTCTGCAAAGACAGCAGCAAGGGGATGGGAATCAACAGCCTGAGTCAAAAGGGAATAACAAACAACACAGGCATCCTGTGAGAGAAGGATTAACTGCAGTTGTGAAGGCAGAATAATAAATTAATTAATGAGTAGCACATTTGGCACAGTTAAGAAGCTAACGGGACCCTATGATGCATGATGCTCCATCTTGTATACAACGTTTCTTCACGACAGCTGGCACTTCAGTAACATAGTGATGAGCATAACAGAAATAAATGCCAATACAGGTAATAAAACGGTACTTTACAAGATTGCCCCATGTCATCCATCTCACACAGGACTGCTCAGAATATTGAGTAATCCATAACATAAAACAGTCTAAAACTCATACAGGTATGACAGCCCAAACCTCAACACCCTTAATAACATTAAATAAGAAAAGAAAAATGGTGTGTGTGTGTGTGAGTGCATGCATGTGTGCGTGCCCAACATAAATGAAAAAGGAGGCCAGATGCTCAGGTCCTGTAAATTACGCATCTCCATTAATTTCACTGGACTTGCCCTGGTTTGCACAAGCGGATCTACTCCAAGCACAGAGGGCAAGGGGGAACATATGTCATTCATATTTAGAATGCATAAACATGATCAATGGCCAGTTTGTAAAGTAAATGAAAATGAACATAAAAAATTATGGGCCAACTCCTCAGCTTGTTTCACCCAACACAGCTCCATTGAAATAAATGAACGACACAGAGTAGCTGAGTAGAGTAGCTGAGAATCTGGCCCTATTTTGTTAATCTGCAAATCCTCTGTACTCTAAATTATGATTACACAGAAAAAACAAATCATAGGATACAAAATTAAATGAATGAAAATGAAAAAACCCTTGACTTAAATAAAGATTAAGTCAAGTGAGGAATGTTGTGCCTAAAGCTGAATAACGGCCAGTATAGGACAAATTGATAGTGGATAATATAATTAAAGAACGTTACATACTAGCAAAGGATACTGCATGCATTGGATGATAAATAATGTTTCAATGGAACGCCTCTGCACTCAGTTAAAAGAGGTTTTGTTCAGTCCAGTAATCAGAAAGCACCAGCTTTCATTCAAGTGAATTCTGAATCTCTTTTTAATTAATTATAAAATGAATGCATTTTCCCAAAGCTTATAAGATAATGAATCCAAGTGCCAGAAAGGCCTTATCTATCTTTGACGATATCTTATGTATTTTTATAGAACCCAAATGCTCTCCTGTCATCTTACATTTATTTTCTCATTTTGCCCTGACATTATTGAGATTGTTTGTGGGGCCAGAAGGGGCTTTTCAAAGGAACTGCACAAGATGAACAGAGAGAATAATTTGTCTCTTCCCTGAGAGGATGATAGAAACAGAATTTGAGGAACACAACAGCAAAATTGAGGGCATCTGTGTGTAAAAGTCACTAATACTTGGACTCTCTAGGAAAATTCACAACACATGGTGCAAATGTAATCTCAGCTAAGTCTCTGGAGTTTAAATTTCTCAGCCAACTATTTTCACACACTTGTAGATAGAATTCTCTCTCATTGTGGAATCTTGGCTCTACTGAAGCCAATGGGGATTTTGCCCTTTACATCAATGGAGCAAGGATTTCATGCTCAGATGCTACAGTGATAAATGTGGTATAAAACACAAGCAGACAGACAAAACCATGATTATTTCAGAGTTTACCTGTAGTACTGGAATAATGAAAATCGAAAACCAGTAGGGCCTACGCAACAGAAAAATTCTTTAAGACAAGATTCTGCTTGCTGGAGA